AGCAGCTTGGTTGAGGAACTTCATCGGGGATCTCGGAGTTGTTCCAACCATCCAGGAGCCTATGGAACTGTTCTGCGATAATGAAGGAGCGGTTGCCTTGACAAAGGAACCGAGAGATCATGGTAAGACCAGACATATCGACAGAAAGTACCATTTCATCAGACATAGAGTAGAAGAAGGCCATCTTATAGTAAAGAGGGTGTCATCTGAAGATAACCCAGCAGATCCTCTCACAAAGGGTCTGAGTAGGGCTAAGCATATTCAGCATGCTCGAGCATAGGACTGAAAGATGATATTAGTTTTAGTAGTTAGATTAGTTTTGAAACTTGTAACAAAGTAAATGTAATTGACTTTTGGTGATTAAATAATAAAGTATTATTTATAAGTTTGGCTACTACCTTTTGTCAATTGTTTATTATTGTGTTTCATTTTTGCATGTTTTACTTCCTGAATAATGAGATTATTCAAACTCCACAGTCGCTCGTACTCTTGGAAGTAAGTAGTGAATTAAGACTGTCATGAATTGGATTGCAGATTGTCTAAGGATAGACATGGCAATAGAATTGCTGCAATGTTCATGAGTACTCAGAAATTGAGATTTGAGTATTGGATAAACCCTCGCTCAGAGTATCACTTCATGGAATTCATCACGAGTAATACTGAGACGATAATATCTTATAATCTTGAAACGAAGATATATGAGTTGTAATTTACAAGTCGGTAATACATTGGTGATACGAAACCGCATCAGTAACTTGGTGTTATAAAACGTATTGTCATGTATAATTTGATGAGTAAAAGATACAAGCATATGAGTCAACGTTTATTCGTTCCTTTTGCCCTAACAGGAAAAGCGATATCTGTGGGCCCCTCGATGATTTGGTGTTGACTTATGTGCTGGGCCCAGCCAGGACTAAATTGATGTGTTCAATTAGAAGTCCTACATCATCACAAATCAGGAATCGGGAAACATAGATTCTGGACAAAGAGATTGATTACATTCCATGTCTTATGTCTAGGGATATCTAGCAGAACGAAGGATTATATGATCACTTATCTTAGGACACGTAACTGACTGGGTCAGAGTTCGGCAGCAGCTTTTGGAAGCTACAATTTGCTGGTCAAATTTAGAAGGCATACTAGCAATTATAGTTACAGACTTATCCAAGTGGGAGACTGTTGGATTAGGTGTCTAAGCCCATAACTATAATTGGTATGTACTTGAATTGATAGCAGCACAGTCCTTTTGGGTTGCCCTCAACCTAGCAACTGGACAAGGAAATTATGAAAGGAGAGATATTAATTTATAAGATTAATAAAATAATATATATATATATATAAATGATTTATTAATATGTTATTGGATTAATATATTAATTAGAAATCATTATGTTTAATTAATTGTTAGCCAGAAATTAATCAGAATTGATTTTGGGGTTAAAAGAATTAATTATAAGGTGCAGGGACTAGTTTGCAATTATCTAATAGTTGAGTGGAAGGCTCTAGAACCCCCTTGGAAGAGGGTGGACGAAATCTTTAGGGGAAACCCTAATAATTTCGTCCATAGGGGCTTGGATAAGGCCCTTGGGTTTGCTTAGGCCCTAAGCAAAGGATAACTAGGGTTTCCCTTAAACCCTAGATCCCTCAGCTATATAAGGAGCCTCCTGGTTCATGTTTTTGGTACTCTTTCTTTTGAAGAAACCCTAAGGCCGAGATTTTGCATACTCCCTCTCCCCTCTCTCTTCTACTTTCCTTCTTGCTAGTTTGGGTGTGATTCCATTAGAGGCATTACACTTGTGGTGCTAAAGCTTCCAAGAAGATCAAGATCAAGATCAAGAGGATTGTCAATTGTTTGCTATAACAATTGAAAGGTATGTAAACCCTAAACCCTAGTTTGTTAATTTCGAAATTAGCCTCTCTCCTCTAGGGTTCTTGTTTTGCAATTCAAAGTTGTATGTTCAATAGTTAAAACATAGATCCAAAGTAGGTTGCATGTGAACTTAGGAATTGTTTTTCTAGTTTATTTGTTGTACCTGAAACCCATCATATAGATCTATACACAATTCTCCCGCTCACTTAAGATTTAACGATTATAAGGTCCGAGACTTAGCGTAATGGTTGAAGAAATGTCTCACATAACCCGTCGAAAGTATGTTATTCTAGGTTGTAAATGAAATCGAAGATTTCCCATGTTCAAAGTGTTGTTCTACATGTATGTTGGTTACCCAGTGTGTAATAGTATTACCCAATGGATAATGGTATTATCCATGGGGTAATGGTTTTATCCAATGTGTAAACACAAAGTTTTAATTTTTCAAAACTAGACTTTTGGTAAAAATGTTAGTTTGTGTTTATCCAATGTGTAATAATATTATCCAATGGATAAAAATATTATCCACTATATAATAGCTCCAATATGAGAAACTTATGCATATGAAAGATAAGACTTGTGTGCTTTCTTTGAAAACATGAATGTATGTATATATCTTCATAAAAAGTACATAAACATGCATGTAATAGTATTACCCAAAGGTTAAAAGTTTTATCCAACATATATTAGATCTAGGACCTTTGTGTAATTTTATTGTCCAAAATGTATTTTGTTTGCATGTCATGTAACCTCCCCCGAAAGTGTAAAATGAGTGAAAACTAGTATAAAAGGGGGTATGAACTCACCTTTTGTGTGTTCCATAGAAGATGGAAAGAAATGGTGGGAAAGACGAGGTAGGAATCAAGCTTTGGAAGACAACACCTTCTTGAACTTCAAGATCTTGCTTAGGGTTTTTGGTTTCAAGAGTGAAAATGAGACAACCAAAAGATGATGGTAGGGAGAAGAAAGAAATCTCGAAAATATGAAGAGAACTTACCAAAAATCCTTGCTAAACACTTGCCAAAAAGCTTGGAATCAACTAGAGAGTGTTTGGAGAGTTTAGAGAGAATGAGAGTGAGTTTGAAGATGAAGTGAGGTAGGGGGAGGGCCTTTTGGCCGAAATTTATAAGGGGAGGGGGGAGAGGTGAAGTGGTTTGAATGGGGAAGTAGCAACACTCTTTCTTTTGAATATAAAATTCTAGGGTTAAGGCTTTTGGATTATTATATTCAAAGTAGGATTTTCTTTGGAATATAATATATAAAGTAAGATTTCTTTTGATTATAAAATATAAAGATGATATGATTATGTTGGGATATGGTGAGATATGTTGGAAGATGAGAGACATAATTTGTCTCATATAGTTTTAATAAAAAAAAACCTAGCCGTTTTTATAATAGGAGCAAATTACACGAATGGTCCCTATGGTTTAGGGTAATTTGCGCATTTGGTCCCTAACTTATTTTTTTAACTCGGAAGGTCCCTATTGTTTGCTTTTGTTACGCGCTTGGTCCCTGTCTTACCTAAAAAGACTATTTTCCCTTGATTTTTTAATTTATTTAAATAAATACACCCTCAACCTCACCCCTTTCACCTTATCTTACCTACCCCACCATTTTTCCATATTTAAATAATAGTTTTTTTAGGTAAGACAGAGACCAGGCGCGTAACAAAAACGAACAGTAGGGACCAAGCGCGTAACAAGAACAAACAGTAGGGACCTTCCGAGTTAAAAAAAAAAGTTAGGGACCAAGCGTGCAAATTATCCCAAACCATAGGGACCATTCGTGTAATTTACTCTTATAATAGTGTGGTGGGATTTGAGAAATTTGTAAGGTTTAATAACTAATAAAAATATTGTTATTTAATATTATTAACAATAATATTAACACCTTATGATTAAATTGTTTTTCTCAAATTCGTTGTATAAAATGTGAGCGTTAAACATGATAACTCCCGTTGTCTTGATGTATGATATTTTCTGGTAATTAACCGGAGTATCAAGCTAAATACTAGATCATATGATGTTTGAAACATGTTTATGGCTTTGTGAAAACGTAAACCTCGTGTCATGAATATTACCCAATACCCGGTAAGATTTGTGTGTTTTATTGAATTGCTACTTTACCGTAGTTTATTATTCGCAATTAAAGCGTTTATTCGATAATTTATTCAAAATAGTGCATGTAGTATTATAATATTCAACAATACATTAGGAATGTTATGAAAATTACATTTCATCTTTTTGACCTAATTTACGTATAGTTGACTTTTGTTGACCAAAATTGACGGATGTCACAGACAATCAGCTTGTTAGTGATCCAATCAATCATGCTAGGTAACTCTCTTATGAAGGCTTGAAAAATACATCAAAATATGAGCAGTAGATATATTCTACAATTAAGCACAAGTTGTCCAATTTATTACTAAAAATGTAGTAAAATATGTGGAAAATACTTTGCAAAACAAAAGAAAAATAGACAAAAAAGATGAATAAAGATGCATCTAACAACGATCGTGTTGAAATTATACTAAGTCAGTCACACGATCGTGTGACATGTATGTCTTACCCATAACGACCTAAAAGCTGAAGAACGTCCCAAACCTTATCCAAATCACTTTCAACACTTCCAACCTAGTTTCTAATGACTATTCGATGTCTCAAGCGTTACTTAAACATCAATTCACATCTATTACATGGATTTGAGGTTCAAATGTGATGATTCAACATGCTTTGTAATCATAATCTATTTAGTTTGAAATAAAATGATATAAGCTTCCATTTCTTATCATAAATTGGGAAACTCAAATCATCCTACTTGATCTTCACTTTGACTTGATGAATCATTCCTTATAATGCTTCCATAAACGTTTTTAACTCTCAAGGATAGATCAAACCAATGTGAAACTCAAATCATCATAAATACATCAAGTCAAAGTGAAAATTCTCAACAAGTTCATAATTGCATCCTACACCCAATGAATGTATTCCTTATCTTCAAGTTATTTTCAGAACATAATTTAAGCTTCAAATTTTCGTTTAATCCATACATTTAAGCTAAACTTTGAAAACCACCATTAATGAGCTCTTAAAGCTTTCAAAATCATTATATCTCAAATATTAAACCATGAATGAGTAGAGTAAGAGTAGATAAGTGATTTACTAACTAAAACTCACTAGAATCATCACTAAAACGAATGTAATGAAGTTATTTTTGGATTTGGGGGTTTCTTCACAAACCCTAGATCGAAAATAATTTGTGAAGATGAACAAAGTTTATACCTTACACAAGCTTCTACTCAATTCCTAGCATCATTGTTTCCCTCTCTTAAAATCGTTTCTTGTCCTTCAAATGGGGAAGAAGATGAAGATTATGTCTAGTTATGAAGAAATTCACTATTTACACCCTATATTTTCCAAATATTCTCTACAATGCACCAACTAACTTACAAAAAACCTAACAAGTCATATTATTTATATTATAAATTTATAACTTATAAAAATAACATTCTTTAACATTTATAGTTCCAACTAAGTCAAACAACGTCAATCCTACGTTTAACGTTTTTGTCAAATTTGGTCCCTCATACTTAAAGTTTTACAAATGATATTTGTTATCATCTTTAATCTAAAGATTTAGAATGAAACCAATAAATATTGTTTTATTAACAAATTATATCCCAATAATTAATAATATTAATGTCACACTTAAGATTATCAAACTTGACAAGTTTGACCATCCTTTTAATTCAAATTTCTTTTAGACCTCAAGTTTGATCTTCTAAACATCTTAGATACTTTAACCTTAACTAAATGTATGCCCGCGCAAAGCAGCGGCGATAATAGTTTTTTTGACGAATATTTTTCCTACGAGAAATAATTATTAGATTTTATTATTAGTTATTATGTAATAAAAAAGTATCACTTTTAAGTTAAATATTTATGTTTAGACTTTATATTTATATTGTCTGTTTATATATTTGATGTAAATTAATTAATATCGATGTCTAGTTTAAAAAAAATATAAATTAATTTATATATATGAATTAGCATTTAATAACTTTCCTTGATTCAAGTCATTAAATTTTTGGCAAGTATTAATAATTATTTATGCATAATTGATTTGTACAAAAAGCTTTGTATCTTATATCTCTTAAAATTCAAAATATAACTAATATTCTTTATAATATAGTATTAAGATAATACGTAGTTGTTTCATTTTTTTATATTTATTTTATTTCAATTTTTTTTTACTAAATAGCTCAAAGCTTCTAGGCTCGATATGATGACGTTACAATTACCCACTTCTTAAATTTTCCATGTCGAATTTTCAAAGTGGTATACTCCTTGAGAGTTCTAAATTGAATTTTGAGGAAAGATCCCAACCCTAATTTCATGCCTTGTATAGTGGAGACCACCAAGTTATGAGTTCGAAATGCAAATATTGGATGTTTATTTATTTATTTTGAAATAGATGGTCCATGTTGTTTTTCAGGAAAACTGGTTTATTTTTTTTTATACCTATTAGCCATTTTGTTAATTATCCCCCGAAAATATTGCAGCAATAGAGTTATATTTTTATTTTTGTTATGTGTAAATAATATTGTTATATAGGATGTCTTCTAAGATTAGATTAGAAATACCACTTTACCCATTTTTTTTGCTTTATATTGTTAAGATTGACACGAAATTAGATAATAAAATAGTTTACTAAATACAATTAATAGATTTTGGACTAAATAAATATTTTGTTGCTAGTTCGGTGATACTGATTTTCTCAAACTTCACACTTTTTGTATTATAAACTACATTTTTAAAACAATTTGTAAGTTGTGCATCGATGTTTGTACAGTTATCTGGATTTATGAGTTTCATTTCTAGCATTTGCGTATCTTAACCATATTACTTCGGACAGTGACGACAGCTCTCCCTTAACCTGTCACGTAAGGACACGTGTCTTCTCACAAACAGACTTTGCATCCTCCTCTTCCCGCCCGCAAATCATGAGGGAGTTGATGAGAAATCTCATTTACCACCAAATCTAACACCCGTTTCTCTCTCTGTAATCTCGTGTTTATCGTTGCAGCAGATCGTCGCCGAAGAAGATTCATCATCAATAAAACCTAAATCGTCAGGTAATCATTTTCGTTATCTTCAAACGAAGCTATGTTTCTCTCTGTAATTCTTCGTGTTCAACTAAATTATGAGTTTCGATTGCTACATCTCCGTGATGGTTTTAGATTCTCCGTTTTGTGTCGAATGATCTAAATTTCTGGTTAAGTTATGTATAATGCATACAGAATATGATTTTTGAACGAATTTAATAACATTATGTACCTGAATTTCATTCCAAAAATCTATATTCAGGTTTAGTTTCGTTATTTTCAACCGAAATTGTGTATGTATATGTATTTCTTCACGTTCGTCACAAAAATCTCAATTCAGGTGTGTAGTTTCATTATCTTCAATTAAAATTCTGTTTCTCTCATTAATTCTTCATGCTCATCACAAATATCTAAATTCATGTGGTTTGCTTCATTGTCGTCAATTAGAACTCGGCTCCTTTCTGAATTGTCCATGTTCATCACAAAAATCCTTAATCAGGCGATTAGTTTCATTATCTTCAGTTAAAACTCTGTTTTTCTGTTTAGTTCTTCATGTTTCACTGAATTTTAAGCTTCGATTTCTATATCTGTCTATTTTTCTGCAATTACGGCTTTCATGTATGTAATTTGAGAATTTCAGATTAAGTTTCTGTGTAGTGTATACAGAGTACGAATATTGAATGAATTTCATAACATGTTTGATACCTGAGATCTGGATGTGTGTATCTCCCAGAATTCCAGCTCCGATTTGAAGATTTTAAATTTTATAGTTACTTAATTTTGCACAATGTATATGGAAACCGACTTTTGAATAAACTTATGAAGGTTTTCTTATCGAGAATGGATTAGTGCAGGTTAGGTGTGTGTCAGGGTGTTCTATGAAAGTCCAATTTTCATTTGTTTGCATGTGTACGTATATTCTTTTCTAGGATTTCAGCTTTGGTTTGATATTCTTTTGAAAGTTCCAGATCAATTCTTGAATGCTATAATACGGATTGCAAACGTTGAATAGGATTCATAATATATTTGTACAGAGCTTTAGATTAGTTCTGAGATTGAGATTTGATTATGCATTTTCTAGGATTCTAGCTTTCATTTACAAAAAAATGAAATATTGACCAGCTTTTGCATATTTATAAAAACTTCGTACTGTTGAAAATTCGTGTGTTTTCCAGCTCCGATTGAATTTTCAGGAACTGTCTGATTAATTTTTAGCATATCGTGTATAGAATAATAGAGGTGAATGATCGATTGAACTTGATAATTGTTTGTTCGTGTATTCTTTGGAATTGCAGCCCTAACTTACGTGCATGTGTTTATGCTGACATTTTGTTCTGAATTTGTTGCTAGAGTTGTTCCTGCATCTTGTACTATTAAGATTACTGAAACTGACGAATTTTGTTGTTGTTGAATATGTGTAACTGCATATTGTATGATAGGGAGAGAGAATGAAGAGGTAAAGAGATAAAGGAGAAAGATGGAAGAAGGCAGCGTGGGAAAGAAATCAGGAAAGGCGATGGCATCATCGTCTTCCCAAAGTGCTGAATTTTCTGGACCACAAGGGTTGACGAGGAGACCTTCACGAAACGCTGCCACAACCACCTTCTCCATGGAGGTTTTTGATAACGAGGTGGTCCCCTCGTCCCTCCAACAAATTGCCCCCATTCTTCGTGTTGCAACTGAGATTCAACAAGACCGACCTCGTGTTGCTTATCTTTGTAATTCCTTCTCCCTTATCCTCTTCTCAACTCCTTGTTTTGATACTTGGTCATTCATTCTCTTAGATCATGCTTATAAGTGGTGTATACAAAAACTTTTTCACAATCAAATATGTGTACTTGTAACTATAGTTATTTTTAGTAGCAAACTACTTATTATTATTATTTTTTAATTTTTGTGTTTTGTTATATATGAAAAAAGGTCGGTTCTATGCATTTGAGAAAGCGCATAGGTTGGATCAAAGCTCCAACGGACGTGGTGTTCGCCAGTTCAAAACCGCTCTCCTCCAACGTTTAGAAAGGGTAATATATTTATGCATTTAAGTTCTTTTACGTGTTTTTTTTTTTGCAATATAAAAGGCTATTGTTTGTTTTTCAATTATAGTTTACTTTTAACGTCTTGTTAAAATTAAAAACTTTGAAATTATAATGTTTGGAATATAATTCGAACTAAAATAATTTTTTAACTTCTAGTGTTTTCTCAAAAGAAAGGTTACAACTTATATTTTTTAACTGTTTAAAAACTAATTGATATTTTAATTTTGTTTATATTTGATATGGTCTTGGCCACAAAAAATTACATGATGATTAATTACAACAGAATTCATAATGTTTTTCAAAATTAAATTGAACATAAATTGGAAAATAATGCTATCAAAATGTTAAATAACTTTAAGATATTCCGTATCCTAATTTTTATTTTTATTTTTATTTTTATTTTTTTATCTTTAGCATATTATTGTATAGGATTTTGATTTAGTATCAATAGAAACATACTATGTTTAAGATTCATGAAAACTTATACGAGTATTTCTTAAAAGGGAGATGATATTTCCAATTAATTGTGTTTTTGATTTTATGGTAATGAGAAAGGCGGGGCGGAACTGAAAATAAATTAAAGACAAGTATATAAATGCCATTATTCAAAATAGACCACAGTTGAACCATGCATTTGGGGATTAGGGCTCATTAGCTACTCATTCGAAAAGGATTACCTTTCTAAATTCCGTTGTCACTTGCAACTTTCACATCCAATTTACTAAATATCTGATCTATCTAATAACGAATTTCTCGAGTTTCGAAGGAAAAGTAACTGAAATTGGCAATGTGCTTCATCAGGACGATGCCCCAAGTGTTGCCGCTCGTGTTAAAAAGACGGATGGGCGGGAAATTGAGAGCTTCTACAAACAATATTATGAAAAATATGTCAAGGCACTCGATCAAGGAGAAAAAGCAGATAGGTACCTAGTCAAACATATATGTGATTTTGGAAGAACAATAAAAAGAAAGTTTTATAAAAAGTGAAAGTTTGATTAACATCTTCTACTCACTGTCTTTATCACCAGAGCCCAACTTGGAAAAGCTTACCAGGTGGCTGGAGTGCTTTTTGAAGTCCTCTGCGCCGTTAACAAGTCTGAAAAGGCCGAAGAAGTTCCTGCTGATGTCAGCTCCCGTCTTTTCATTATATTGGTTATTTTGTAGTTTTGTTCATTACATAATATATCTGATGTTTGTACGCATAGATCATTGCATCAGCTAGAGAGGTTGAGGCAAAGCAGGTTATATATGCACCCTACAACATTCTGCCTCTTGATTCTGCCGGTGAATCACAATGCATCATGCAGTTTGAGGAGGTACCCCTCCTATTGATTTTAATTCTAAAGAGGAAATTTATATTTCAATTAATTTTTGGGAAATTGCAGATTAAGGCATCAGTGTCTGCTCTGAGGAACACCTGTCGCTTAAATTGGCCTGCTTCTGTTGATCAGCACTGGCAGATATCAGGAGAATTGGATCTTCTTGATTGGCTAAGGGCAATGTTTGGGTTTCAGGTATGTAGTCTTTCAAGATTAATTCTACTATTGAAGACCGTGGCTGTTTAGATATTGGGTTTATATATCTATTGAATAATGTACATTCTGTTTGAAAATGTTTCCAGAAAGACAATGTCAGGAACCAGAGGGAACATCTGATCTTGCAACTTGCCCATCCTCAAGCAAGGCTGACGCCTAAGCCTGAGCCAATTAACAAGGCATGCACCTCATGTAAAACCTATTTTTGTCCATTCTGAGAGAACCTTCTTGACTCTGACTGGTTTATGTGTTTTCCATGACAACAACTACAAAGTACAAACCAAATGATCTTTCTTTATGTATACACTCCTAATGCATACACAACATCATGTTTATAAACTATCATAATATTTTACATGTCTTAATTTGCTTTGCATAACTTCTAAAGTCACTGTGATGCAGCTTGATAATCGAGCAGTCGATGTGGTTATGAACAAGCTTTTCAAAAATTATAAAACCTGGTGCAAATTTTTGGGAAGACCGCACAGCTTAAGGTGAGTTATATAACCCAGGTATTGTTCCTGAACGTAAGTTTCATGGTAGTTGATAGTTGTGTGCATGTAATATTTTTTGTGGTCCATAGGTTTACTAAAGCCGTTGCTTTGCAGGCTCCCTAAAGAACAAGAAGAAGTGCAACAGAGGAAGCTACTCTACATGGGCCTCTATCTTCTTATCTGGGGCGAGGCAGCTAACGTACGCTTTATGCCAGAGTGTCTGTGCTATATCTTTCACAATGTAAGTACTCCATTTGTTTATCACAATTCTAAAGTGATATGTGTGCCAATAAGTGTTAGGAGTAAATGCAAGAAATAGCAATGCACTTCCATTACAGCATTGTACTATGAAAAATGTATCCAACTATAGCAATGTCATCCAAATACAAAGCATTATTCACTGCTACAATTCAGTTGATTTTTAAAATACAATGTCCCGATAAGAAAAAAAAATTGAAAGTACAACTCTATATATGGGTAGATTTTTCAAATTCAAGTTTGTTGATAAGAAAATAAGTCAAAGTGCAATGCTGTAATAGAAAGAAATGAAAGTGAGATGCTATAATAATAAAAAATAACGAAAGTATGTTGCTATTTCTTGGATTAGCCCTAAATTTAACGCCTGAATTTGAAGATTGTTTATATATTTCATGACAATGCCATACTATCCATTCAGATGGCATATGAACTCCATGGTTTGTTGGCTGGAAACGTCAGCATTGTGACTGGAGAAAATATCAAGCCTTCGTATGGTGGGGATGATGAAGCCTTCCTTCGCAAAGTTATAACTCCAATTTATCGAGTCATTGAAAAGGTACTCCAGGCCTCCAGCTGCAACCCCATGCACACATAATCAAATGTGATGTTTTTTAAGAATTAATTAATGGTGCTTGTTGTAATGATCAAGGAAACCAAGAGAAGCAAAAATGGAAAGGCCCCTCACTCTGCTTGGTGCAACTATGACGATCTTAATGAATATTTCTGGTAAAGTCTTGAAACAGTTGATGAGAAAAAAAAAGCGGTCTCAAACTTTCTGAACAAAATTTCTTCTCTGATATTATAGGTCACCAGATTGTTTTGCTTTGGGTTGGCCTATGCGTGATGATGGCGATTTTTTTAGATCAACACGTGACATGACACGGGTTCGTCTCTTTTGTATATAAACACTGGGGGTTTCAACCGACAAGAGGATTTCTTTTCTAAAAAATATAAATCTGATGACAGGAAAACCAAGCACCTCATAAGGTTGGAAGCCTTGGAAAATCATATTTTGTTGAGACACGATCATTTTGGCATACATTTCGAAGTTTTGACCGTTTGTGGACATTCTTCATACTAGCTCTTCAGGTAAGAAACAGATATAGATTCAATTTTGCTTTCCTGCAATTTACATTTTAGTGCAATTTATCTTGAACTGTTCAATTGCAGATTATGATTATCCTTGCATGGAATGATGTTCCGGTATCGGATATCTTTGACAAGGATGTGTTATATAGATTATCCAGTATCTTCATTACAGCAGCTTTTCTCCGATTCTTCCAAAGTATGTTCCTTTTTCTTTATTTCTCAAGTTAATAATAATAGTAATACCTCATGATCATTTGGTTTGTTCCGATGACTACACCCTTGTCTTATTGATTCAGTTCATGATTTTCAATCTTTTATCATCGTATGGATTATTTTCAAGAGCCATTTGGGTATATATAATAAGATCTAGAAGTATAATGTTTATTATTCTGTGACATCTGTGAATGCATCAAAATACTTAGTTTGATGTTTGGATTAAAACTTGTAGTGATAAAGTGATCTTACAACTTACTACAGTAAGTTTGTCTAAAATTGGAATAACCCTTCTGTGCTCTAACTTGAGGAGTTGTTAGCCTCATCGTCATAGTGCATGGTACTTTAGTATTGATCTTTTTTTTTAAATATATTTATTTATGTTTATGAATAATAGCTATTAATAACGTATGAACTTTGTAAAGTTAGTTAGTGGCGAGAGTACATTGCAGTCTGACTTCTAAAATTAGTAAGTACCTTCTAGGCACCCCATTCCAAGTTTCACCGCATAATGTACTACAAGTCACTGTGGGGATTGTTTCTCTGAACTCTTTTTCTTATATTTAACTTATGATAACTATACAAAACTATAAATATGTGACAAAGAATTGTTATAGAGCGAATTCATAATAAATTCCAATCTGAATAGTACTAGCCAGCCTCCCAAGAAAGCCAGTGTTGGCCCTTTTATCAAATGCAGGATTTCCACTTATTCTGAAATTTATAAATTTATTTTGATATGATTTGTAATAGGTATATTGGACATTGTTTTGAACTTCCCTGGATATCATAGATGGAAGTTTACAGATATATTGAGGAACATTCTGAAGATTATTGATAGCCTTGCATGGTCCATTGTTCTTCCACTATGTTACATACACCAAAACGACAATAACTCAATGCCATTTGGAAGAATAAAAGATATTCTTTCTTCCCTTGACCGATTTGAGGGCATTCCTTCTTTATATCTCATGGCTGTGACGTTGTATTTGATTCCAAATTTACTCTCAGCAGCACTCTTCATTTTCCCTATGCTTCGACGATGGATTGAAAACTCTGACTGGCTTATTGTAAGATTTCTTCTATGGTGGTCGCAGGTACAAACTTTTGTCTATTATTCCCTTCTTTTAAGTTTCACAGCATGTTTGTCTGTGGACTCTGGTGGAATCTGATGGAATTGGAATTTGAGATTCCAGGCACATGGTGTCTTTGGTTTCCAAATGGACAATTCTATTCCGTCAGATTCCTTCAAATTCCATGTTTGATGGATTTCATCATTCCTAGGGTAGGTGGAAGAAATTCAATTTCACTCTTCTTTTTTTTTTTTATTATTATTATTTATTAAAAGCCCAAAATACCATCCTAAAACATTTAGTGAGCCAACCGCCCCCACGGCTTATCACACACTCATTTGTGAGTTGTATCGTATTGTACGGACAATAAAGGACAAACATGTACCTATCATATCATTCCCATATGATCTTATATCAATTTTCAACTACTATCAAACATCGCCATATCTTGAAATTTTAGCTTTACAACAATCATGTTGTTAGTATATTATGATTATTAATTATTCTTAAATGATAAGAAAAGACTAATTCAGTCCTATTGAAGATATTCATGCTCATGTATTATGTATGCAGATGGGTATAACTTTTGAAGTGATACTTCTGCTTCGTGATATCAAAGTGACTGTTTTTTGAAAATATGTTGCTATTTTATTACCTTCTCATCCAAAATCTTTTCTCATCCTCTTATTTGTTTAGTATGGTACAGACTATTTATCAGATATTGACTGTATTTTTGCTATGTTCTAATTAATGAATGTGTATGTGTATTTACTCACATAACCATAAATTATTTTTTTGTTCCTTCATGGTTGTATAATCACAGAAATTTCCCCTTTGTTACTATAGAAAATATCATTTTTTACAGCTAGCTAATACAATCAAATTTCAATAGAAATAATAACTGATAATCATTATTAGTTAAGTCTCACTCATACGCATTAATTGATAATCTTTATTGTTTTATCTGGTTATCTGCAGCCCAGAATCTATGTCGGGAGAGGAATGCATGAAAGTCAATTTGCCCTTTTGAAGTAAGTGCAGAGTCTTTAACTTGTTTCCTGCATATTATTTCGTAGACAGTTATCAGAAATTTACAGCTACATTTATTTATCAATGACAGGTATACCCTCTTTTGGGTAGCTCTCTTATCTGCAAAGTTTTCTTTTAGCTATTTTGTTCAGGTTAGTTCTCTCTAACTTTATATTACATTAGATAGAAATCAACAATTGGATAAATTCTGTTACAGTAAATATTTTCTGCTCCACAGATAAAACCTTTAATCGAGCCTACAAAAGATATTATGAAAATCAGACGTGTACAGTATGCTTGGCATGAATTCTTCCCAAATGGTTTGTGATTCTTTAGGTCTTTCTTTTATTCTTAGTTATAGCATGGTACTTTCAACATTTTCTTATTAGGACATTTTACTTTGAAAATTTAACCCAATTTTAGCTGTGCAAAATTGTTTTGTATCTGGATGACATTGCTATGATTGGGTAGATTTTTCTAGTACAATGCTATAATACGAAGAGATAAAAGCATGATGCTTTAATATAGTAGTCACTGAAAGTACGTTGCTATTTCTTGCATTTCCCTGTTTATTCTTTGTTATTGATTTTCATAATTTGTCATGAACATGCAGCTGAAAAAAACTATGGAGCGGTTGCTGCACTCTGGTTACCTGTTATTTTGGTATCTTTTACCTTATTATTTCATTGCTTAATTGCAATATTAGTGTTTTCATCTTTAATTGTTGTTTCTGCTGTTACTGTTATTATCTCTGATTGTCCACTGGCTTGATATGCTTCATATTTATTACTCAGGTTTACTTTATGGACACTCAAATTTGGTATGCTATATTTTCAACTTTGTGTGGTGGTATTATCGGGGCGTTTGATCGTTTGGGAGAGGTATTGTGTTACTCTCTTCTTAAATATACAACTGTGTTAATTCTTAAGAAGACACACATCTGCATTTGGCAATGCCTTATTTTCAATCTTGATTAGCTGAAAACATCTGAGCCAAGAGACTACTACTCAAAAGATTGGTGATTGAACTGAACTTTTAAAGCACACTGAAAGTTGTGAAATAGCAAAACAGTCGCTGAAATTTGAAAAAAGCAAAATTGGAACAGAAACACAAGACTACTACTAGAGTTCCGACTGTAAGATGTAAACAAGAGCAAATTTGTTAACATTCCTGTTTATTGTCACAGATACGAACACTGGGCATGCTAAGGTCACGCTTCCAGTCTATACCCGGTGCATTCAATGCGTATTTGTTGCCATCTGACAGGGCTAAGAAAAAGGGCTTTTCTCTGTCTAAGCGATTCGCAGAGGTACTTGATTTTTCAAAGTATAATATGCTAATAAGAACCTTTAACTCGTAGACGAATGATTCATGAGAATGTTATTATACTATAAAAATAGGTTACACCAAATAGGAGAACCGAAGCAGCAAAATTTGCTCAATTGTGGAATGAAGTTGTATGTAGTTTCCGTGAAGAAGATTTCATAAGTGACAGGCAAGGCTGCTAATCCAACTTTTTATTTTGTTTAATTTATCGAAAAAAGAGTTTCAATCCAAATTTGTCTATTGCAGGGAGATGGACCTGATGTTAGTTCCATATTCTTCAGATCCCAGTCTTAACCTAATTCAGTGGCCACCATATTTGCTTGCTAGCAAGGTTCCAATTGCACTTGACATGGCAGTTCAGTTTCGATCCAAGGATGCTGATCTTTGGAAGCGTATATGTGCTGATGAATATATGAAGTGTGCTGTCATTGAATGCTACGAGTCCTTCAAACTTGTGCTGAATGCTTTAGTTGTTGGACATACCGAAAAAAGGTTCGTCTTCTGAATTTCCACATCTACTCCCACAAGAAGCTTTTTACCCCAAAATAGTTAAACACACTGAAAATGAAACTTGTTAGCAATTATAAAGAGGTTAAACTTGATAGAAATTAGTCCTTCTATTCTATGGAAGTTGAAACATTTTATAATTTGGGTTACCCATCAAAAATCGCTAATTCTCCTTTATTTTGGCAAATCTCCAAGCTATAGTTACCCACTTGCCTTTTGTCATTGTTATAACTTTATGGATGCTATTTATTATAGTGCACAAGATTCTCTTCTCGTGAATAGCATTTTAGATATAGACTTGATAGTCAAACACATCTATAAAATTGATGGACCTTGACATCAAACCCTGTAGTAATAGGAAGAACGTATGTCTTGCTTTGGGTTTAGGGTGTAGGGTGTATCATATCATCATGTGCATCATAATCACTTCAACATACATTGTAGGGACTTCTTCTCAACATCACATCACTCTCCTTGTTACCCTATCGAATTCCTTCTCTAGATCGATATACATCGCCGACAAATATTTTTTATGGATCGTTTGATCAAGAAAATAGACTATTGTTCATCTTTGTGGTGTGGAAACAAACTGGTTTTCTTCATCTTCTTCTTCCCTCAAAAATGAAAAATCACTTTGTATTTTAAGTTGTATATTCATAGCTTATGAGATTAGCCAAATAAAGTAGATTGGTATAGCTTACTAGATTATGTAAAAAATAAACATCTTACATCTCATTGTTGCTCTGATGACAGGATAATTGGTATCATTATAAAAGAAGTCGAAAGTAACATTTCAAAGAACACCTTTCTAACAAATTTTAGAATGGGATCTCTACCTACTCTTCGCAACCAATTTGTGAAACTGGTGGAAAGTCTGGTGAGTCCTTGAGAAATAAAAGTCAGTGCTAGTTGTTATCTTACTACTGATCACTTTATTTAACATTGTGAATATTTCCATATTGCAGAAAGAGGCTGATGAATCTAAGCACAACACTGTGGTTTTAATTACTTCAGGACATGTTAGAAGTAGTTACGCGGGACATGATGGTCAATGAAATTCGGTTTGTGCTTTTGTGCATTCCATTAGTATAACAAAAATGCATCATCGTCTCCTAGGAAATATATATTCAAGGGTTAAATGCAAGAAATAGCAATGTACTTCCATATATATATATATATATATATATATATATATATGTTTATTATGGCATCCTACTTTAATTTATTCTTAGTACAATATTGTACTTTGAAAAATCTATGCAATTATAGCCTTGTCATATTAGTATGTAACAGTTTTCATTGCTATAATTGGATAAAATTTTCAAAGTATAATGTCCTAAAATGAAATAGAAAGTGTTAGTATAATGCTATGTATGGGTAGATTTCTCAAAGTACAATCCCATAGTAAGTAAAAAGTTAAAATACAATGTTGTAATAGGAAAAGATGTAAGCAGGATGCTATAATTCCAAAAATAAATGAAAGTACATTGTTATTTCTTGCATTTGGCCATATTTTCAATAGTTTTATTCTCATAAGTTCAACAAACATAATAATGACCTCGTACATGTTTGTTTCAGTGAACTAGTGGAATTAGGGCATGGTAGCAAGGATTCTGGAACACAACTGTTTGAAAAAGCTATGGACTCAAGACCTGCAATCGCATTTCCTCCTCCTGTTACTGCCCAATGGGAAGAACAGGTTACCCATATCTTCCCATTGCACATATTATTTACTTAATGTTCATGGACCCACACACAAAGTGACATTGGCACTTAACCTTTACTTTGTGGTCATTACAGATAAAGCGGCTTTATCTTCTTCTGACAGTAAATGAATCTGCTATGGATGTGCCTAAAAACCTTGAAGCAAGGCGGAGGATCACATTTTTCACAAATTCATTGTTCATGGATATGCCACGTGCACCTCGAGTCCGTAAAATGTTATCATTCAGGTACATGAAGTTTTGTTCATGGTATACTTGCCTTGTAGGTTGAAAATTCTAAAAAGCCAATTATTATATATAGGTTAAATGCAAGAAGTTGGAACGTACTTTCACATATTTGTGTATTAAAGCATCCTACTTTCATTTCGTCCTATTATAACATTATATTTTAAAAAATCTACCTAATTATAGCAATGCCAAACAATTCAAAAGCAATTCTCTTTGCTATAATTGGGTACGCTTTCAAAATACAATGTCCTAATAAGAAAAGAAATTACTAAAGTACAGTGCTATAATTGCTAGGAAATAGGAAATGCAGAGTACAATGCCTTAATTAGAAAAAAAATGAAAATACAATGTTGTAAATTTGTAATAGAAAAACAAAATGGAAGTAGGATGCTATAATAAACAACTAAATGAAAGCACATGGTTATTTCTTGCATTCAAACACCAAACACCACATCATGTGAGTCAAATAGTGTGCGGTGTATGGTAGTACTAGTACATGAATCCAGAATAATATTTAGTTCATCAATATAATACAATCATAGTTAATTGGAATTGCATTCATCAGTATGAGATGATCATAATCAATTGGAAGTGCAGTGTCATGACCCCATATTATAGTGAAGAGACTGTTTATTCTAAGAGCGACCTTGACATGGAAAATGAAGATGGTATATCAATCAAATACTACCTGAGAAAGATCTTTCCAGGTTCCGATAATTCTAAACTTCACCTCTTTGGTATATACAACTTCTTCCACAAACTTATAGTCGTGTGGTTATCTGGGAATGGAAATATTGTTTTGTCAGATGAATGGGAGAACTTCATGGAACGCATCAATTGCAAAGAAGACGCGGAGATTTTTGAAAGTGATGAAAGCATATTACAACTCCGTCATTGGGTTTCTTTAAGAGGACAAACTCTCTGCAGAACAGGTATTTCCACATATTAGTTTATTCTCAAAAAATTTATTGCATTCCTAATGGATGTCAGCCTTTTAGTTAGAGGGATGATGTACTACCGGAGGGCATTGAAGCTTCAGGCTTTTCTTGACATGGCCACTGAAAAAGGTAAGAGCAAATTAACTATCCGGTGCATATGCTAAAATGTTTAATAGAATGTATTTGGAAGGAATGGACTCTATCAAAGGAATTGGATTTTAAAGTGATAATCTGTCATGCGTTTGGTTGGCAGTAAATGGAATGGGCTTCAATAATAAAAAATAAATAATTTTTTTTATTTAGTTGAATTATTGTTTTCATTTATTCCAATATATAATGAGGGTATTTTGGTCTTTTAATAAAAAAGGGAAGAATGGAATGGAATTCTTCTTCCCTCCCTTGGGAATGATGAAACCTATCAAACATGGAAGTTGAAGGATTCCGACAGAATTGAATTCCATCCATGTGGCAACCAAACATGCCATTGAGTGGAATTCGGATTCCGATTCCAACCTTGAAATTTGACATGGCTATGCGAATCAAGTGTCTTATAAACATGACAATTCCTTGCCAAAGTATTGTAATTTTGGGTTGTATACGCCAACTGTAAAGTTATATATTAGCCTTCCTTTTAATATTTGTAGACAGACATTAAAGGATTTCTATCACCTAGTGAGTCTCTACAAGGACCCTTCTATTTGATAAGAATCCTGAACTTTTGTCAGTCATAGCCAGGAGCTCTTCAATTTGATCCAACTTTTATAGGATGCTATTCCAAAATAGGCTCTAAGGTAGATAAAATAATATAAGAATATTATGGTGAACCGTTGGAGGCAAAAGAATCTTATGTAACTGACATGTTGAAGGTAATATTCTGTCCCTAACTCTTTGTATGTGAACCAAACAGAAATATTGGAAGGCTATAAAGCCATCACCATTCCGTCAGAGGAGGACAAGAAAAGCCAGAAGTCCTTGTATGCTCAACTAGAGGCCTTGGCTGATTTGAAATTTACTTATGTAGCCACATGCCAAAATTATGGAAACCAGAAGCGTAGTGGTGATCGTCGTGCAACAGACATTTTGAATTTGATGGTTAAGTAAGTATTTCATGGGAAAATAGAGGTTAATATATAAAAAAAAATTATACTATTTAGTAATCAAATAAATCTTCTTGTGCAGCAATCCGTCTCTTCGTGTAGCATACATCGATGAAGTGGAAGAAAGAGAAGGAGGAAAGTCTCATAAAGTCTACTATTCTGTGTTGATTAAAGCTGCAGATAATCTTGATCAGGTACTTGACCTTCTAGTTTCTGCCCAATATTCATGATTTTGATTTGATCTCTTTGCAACTATTCTACTTTCAATTATTTTCTTATTAAGGCATTGTACTTTGAAAAATCTACCTAATTATATGATCGTACTTCCATTTTTTCCCTTATAGCAATAAAAATGGCTTTGGATTTGGATGTCATTGCTATAATTGGGTAGAATTTTTCTAAGTATGCTTTAATTAATAAATTAATGACAGTGCATTGTTATTTCTTGCATTTAAACTTTATTGAAATGTAGTGCTGAGTGCATCCTTGTTATTCTTGTAGGAAATTTACAGGCTAAAGTTACCCGGATCAGCAAAAATAGGAGAAGGGAAGCCTGAGAATCAAAACCACGCCATAATATTTACAAGAGGGGAAGCTCTTCAGACTATTGACATGAACCAGGTACATCCCTATCTATTTGTATTAGTTCTCAGATTGGTTTGACCTCACTCGAAATTAAACCCATGACTCTTTACTTCTTTAGTACTATAAGGGTATGCTTAGTTGATTCCGATGGAATTGGAATTTGAGATTCCACTACGTGGCATATCAGGTTGCCAAATAGACAGAATTCAATTCCGTCGTGATCATTCAACAGATTCCATTCCTTCAAAAATTCTCTGAAACCAACCGTCCCTAAATAATTTGTTATTGTTTTTTGTTTCACGTTGCAGGACAACTACTTGGAAGAAGCTTTCAAAATGCGTAACCTGCTTGAAGAATTTCATGAGGATCATGGAGTGAGACCCCCAACAATTCTGGGGGTTCGTGAACACATCTTTACCGGAAGGTTTGGTCCATATTCAAATTAGCTTTACACTTTTGTTTGGCCTTAAATTTAGACTTGTATTTAATATCATATTTTTATCCCTGCAGTGTTTCTTCTTTGGCCTGGTTCATGTCAAATCAGGAAACGAGCTTTGTCACTATTGGTCAACGTGTCCTTGCAAGGCCTTTAAAGTATGTCACTTCTTCTAAATCAATCTAATATATTACTTATTTTGGTTTGACATAGTAATTTTTAACTCCGAGTCCCGGTCCAAACACAGTACAACCTGTTATGTTATCTCCCATCCTGTCAAATTCATTTGACACTGATGTAAGAATTGAAAGGTTGCTATTTCAAACTGGTTATGCATTTTATTGGTTCGATTCAGGGTACGGTTCCACTATGGGCATCCTGATGTCTTTGACAGAATTTTCCACATTACACGAGGTGGCATCAGCAAAGCTTCAAAAGGCATTAACCTAAGCGAGGACATTTTTGCAGGTAAATTCTTAGATTTATATACTCTCTTTGATGAACTTCCATTAAAATGCAACTTATTGTGATCTAGGGTTCAACTCAACGCTGAGATGTGGTAATGTAACTCATCATGAGTACATACAAGTTGGGAAGGGACGAGATGTTGGCCTCAACCAAATCTCACTCTTTGAAGCTAAAGTGGCATGCGGTAATGGGGAGCAAACTCTAAGTCGTGATATCTACAGATTAGGCCACCGCTTTGATTTCTTTCGGATGTTATCATTTTACTACACGACTACGGGCTTCTATTTCAGCTCTATGGTAATGCTTTTCCTGATGCCATGTACTTCATTTCTTTGTTTTTTAATTATTATAGCATCGTACTTGCATTGTACTTTCCATTTTTTCAATTAGGCAGGACTGAACTAGCTTTCTAGGACTACTTTTGATGATGATGATGATGGCATTCACGTATTTTGCATAGATGAGAGATTGTGAGCGAATCTGTCCCATACCTTTTTTGGTGGGACCAAAAATTGCAATTTTTTGGCTTATTAACATCAGTCCTAGTCCCTATCAAACAAAACACAGTTGAGGCCATTGTGTTGTGTCTTGTTCTACTAATGTACTCAACAAATGGCTACTTAAGATCATTCACTGACCTTAAACAATCTGCTTGGTGGTTCCCAACTGCTTTTATATCTGGAATACTTTACCAAATCGCTAACCATTTTGAAGTAATTTGGTTCTTGCTTACAAATGCATACTCATCTATCTTAAAGCACTATATCCAATTATATGCTCAACAGCTTACTTAGACAAACTAAAGAGACTCTGAATTTAGGGATAGTGATCATGATATATAAAAGTGACTTGCTAGGAAGTTAGGGTAAATTGCGGGAATAGCAACGTACCTCACTCATGTTACTGATGTGAACAATGTACTTTATTTTTTACCCTATAATAGTAATGTACTTACATTTCATAACCAACATGTGCATTATACTCAGTTTGTTACATATTGCTTTTAATGGTAAAGAAATGTAAGTACCGTGCTCTTATGATTAAGGAATTATAAGTACGTTGCTATTATGTGTAAGGATATGTAAGTTTTTTCTATTATGGGTTATATGTTGCTGTTTTCAGTAAAAAAAAGTAAGCATGTTTCTTCTATCCGTAAATAAATGTAACTACATTTGTAGCTTAGGAAAAAGTAGAGTATGTTAGCATGCGCATTGGCTAGGATTAGGACTCATGTCAATGAGACAAATCCCACCCATGGACTCATTCCCAATCTCTCAACATGTGGACATATTTTCCCTCTTTAACCTATAAATTTGTCCAGTCTCGTCCCATATATCAAAAGTAACCTTACATTCTAAGAGGCAACTAAAATGTCAACTATCTAGTTCCTTATAGCTGACACAGCATTTCTGTTAATACCATCCAGCTGGTGGTCCTTACAGTGTACGCATACTTATACGGAAGACTGTACCTCTCTTTAAGTGGATTAGAGAGAGCCATCATGAAATCAGCAAAAGCAAAGGGAGATACTGCTCTAAAATCCGTCATGGCTTCCCAATCTGTAGTTCAGTTAGGCCTTTTAATGGCCTTACCCATGGTTATGGAAATCGGACTAGAAAGAGGATTCAGAACAGCCATGGGTGACTTCATCATCATGCAACTCCAACTTGCCGCTGTCTTCTTCACCTTCTCTCTCGGCACAAAACTCCACTATTTCGGTCGAACCATCTTGCATGGTGGAGCCAAGTACCGAGCCACTGGGCGCGGGTTCGTGGTCAGACACGAGAAGTTTGCTGAAAACTACCGAATGTACTCACGCAGCCATTTTACAAAAGCCATGGAATTGTTTATTTTGCTGGTGGTTTATCAGGCGTATGGGGCGGCAGCCACCAGCAGCACTGCCTACTTTTTTCTAACAGTTTCCATGTGGTTTCTGGTGGTGTCATGGCTGTTTGCTCCTTTTCTTTTTAATCCTTCTGGGTTTGAATGGCAGAAGATAGTGGAGGATTGGGAAGATTGGTCGACATGGATTAGTAACCGTGGTGGAATTGGTGTTCCGGCAAACAAGAGCTGGGAATCGTGGTGGGAGGAGGAACAGGAGCACCTTCAGTACACCGGTCTGATTGGACGTCTTATGGAAGTAATCCTTTCTCTCAGATTCTTCTGCTACCAGTACGGGATTGTTTATCAACTTAGAGTTAGCCAAAGCGATAAAAGCATCATGGTAAGTAGAACCATAATCACGTAGTAGTGTTTGGTATGATGGAATCGGAGAAGGAATGGAATGGTTCATTCTATTGGAATGAACCATTCTATATGTTTCTCTTGCCTGATGGAAATGTAATTCACCATTCATGAAGGAATATGATTACTTCCATTTTGTTGATTTTCAGTCTTCATAATGGAATGAAAAGTTGCAATAGTTTTAATGATTAAAATTTTTGGGAATTTTTTTTCACTATTATAATTAAACAACAGTTTTATTTTATAAACAGAACCGAAAATATTATTTTCATTAGGTTTAAATGCAAGAAATAACAATCTACTTTAATTTATTTGTTATTATAGCATTCTACTTTCATATCTTCCTTTTACAGCATTGTACTTTGAAAAATCTACCCATTTAGAGCAATTTTCATAAGCGAGTACATTCTCCATAAAGAAAATGGAAGTACAGTGCTATAATTGGGTAGATTTTCCAAAGTAAAAATCTCAAAAAGAAAAAAATATTGAAAGTACAATGCTGTATTAGAAAGAATTGAAAGTAAGATGCTATTATAAACAAATAGATCATAGTACTTGGCTATTTCTTGCATTATCTTTTTTTTTTTGTTATAACTTATTTGTGTTTCAATGAGCTTTTATCATCTCTAATTTTTTATTTTTGTAAATGAAAGTGCTGTATTCATAATTAATATGAACTTTGAAGTATAGAATAGAGTTCATACTATACCTTGTACTTACATATAATATAAAAAACTCATGAAAAATCCATTCCATTCCTACACGCCAACCAAACATGATTATGGAATGTAATGACTCATTCCATTCATTAGTAACATCTACCTAACGTAAAAGTTTTTTCTTGCAACCATTACAGATATACGGTCTATCTTGGATTGTAATTCTTGCAGTTATAATGATCTTGAAGGTAGCTGTAACCAAATTTCCATCATACCATTGGTGTTTCTTTTAACCCTCTTGTAATAGAAAATGGTTTTTATTTTTTGCAGATTGTTTCCATGGGTAGGAAGAAGTTCAGTGCTGATTTCCAGCTGATGTTCCGCCTCCTGAAGTTGTTCCTCTTTATTGCATTGATGGCCACGCTTATAGTTCTCTTCCAATTCCTCGGGCTTACTGTTGGAGACATTTTCGCAAGCTTACTTGCATTCATGCCAACAGGATGGGCAATCTTGCAGGTATGCTTGCTCATTGCCTGGATAGATAAATGTATAAAAGATATTCAAATGAAAAAAAAAAAATAATGAAGGCAAATCTGTCGACAAATATGACTTAATTCGGAAAGCTTACTTTCCCCGACTTTCTTTCTGTATTAAGTCGTTCATTTATCCATAAAGTAAAAAGAAGCACATAGGATTATGTCATGTCCCCATTTGGTCCATTAAGTCAAAAGGAACAGCAACTTAGTTTCGTTTGCTTACATTGCTATAATTAGTTAGATTTTTCAAAGTACTAGGATGTAACAGGAAGAAATGAAAGTAGGATGCTATAATAATGTTGTAACAGGAAGAAATTATGTTGTAATTTTCATTTGCAGATAGCACAAGCATGCAGACCAGCAGTGAAGGCATTGGGGATGTGGGGGTCGGTGAAGGCACTGGGAAGAGGGTATGAGTATATAATGGGGGTAATGATCTTCACTCCAGTGGCAATACTTGCATGGTTCCCAATGGTGTATGATTTCCAAACCAGGCTTCTTTTCAACCAAGCCTTCAGCAGAGGTCTACAGATCCAACGTATTTTAGCTGGTGGCAAGAAGAACAAATAGTAGTAGTAGCAGTAGTCGTAGTATTAGTGGTAGTACTCACTCTCATTACTCCTTAGTAGCATAAACACATAGCAACTAGATATATGTAGAAATTAGAATACATAGCTCAAATGCTCAATCAAGTGTAGGTTTCGCTCAATGGTATCACTTGTTTTTTCTCCGATTGGTGTTTGAACCTTTAACTTCGTCCATGGAAATAGGAGGCTAAATCGTCAATGCTTCATGCACTTGTATTATTATGCACCGTTTGTTGCTTGGGTTTTTAAGCTGCGTTTGTTTGTTACATGCGACTGGATTACATTGAAAGTGTCTAGACAAGTTTCTAGGGTTAATTTCGATGATGAGGATAGATGTTTTTTTTTTTTCTTTCTTTTTCCCTTTTGTGTGTCGCATCTTAATTGAAATTTTTGTCGCATTGGACCAAAGTTTTGCTTAGTGATCCACTAGCGTCCCCACATTAAGAGAAGATTTATGTTTTATAGCGCTCCTATAATGCCCAATATACTCACCTCAATTCCAAACTTCTAATAACCTTTGGCTTCTTAACAGTCAATTTTTTTTCTATGTAATATCTCTTTTGTGTAGCGACTTCCAATCCAGGAATATGTGAAAACTAAACCCAACTTGAAGTTCTTAAAACAATTGTGATCACTCTTCAAAGATTTAATATTGAATGAGTGTTCATTACTCATCTAGGAACCCCAAAGCCTGAAACTACATTCCTCTTTACAAAACTTAACTCGGAGTATTCTACTATCATTTTTTGTAGCACACTTTGTATCCATTGAAATTTATGTAGTTGCACAACATATGCATGAGTTGTTTGGGTTCTCAAATTTCATCCATGGCCAATATGGGTTTTTATTTTTTCTAGTGTAAAGACTAATAAACATTTCATGTAATTGACATGTAGCTCAAAACTCATTTATAATGCCCTTATCAACATCAAGGTTTGGCTCATCCCTAACATATTTGCTTTTTTCATCATATAACTTACTCGATAATACATCTTTAGTGTCTTGTTATATCATCATCATATAACTTACTCAACAATACATCTTTCATTGGTCTTGTTCATGCAAGTAACTTCATCTTCCAAATCAAGATCATCTGAGAAATTGAAGATAACATATCTTCATTCCCTTCTTTATATATGCACGAATTCTTTTCTTCCACACTCTTTGTAACATCCCCTCTAGCATGTATCACAATATTGTCTGCTTTGGGCTCCCGACACGAAAACTCCTCAAGCGGTCACCCATCCTTGAATTGTTCTCGCCTGGGCACGCTTAACTGTAGAGTTCTTATGGGATCTACTGTCCTCACGACTTTAAAACGCGTTGTGACAGAGAAGGTATCCACACCCCTTATAAGGAATGCTTAGTTCTCCTTCCCAGCGGATGTGGGATCAGGTGCAACCCACCTACACCCCCATTATAGGGTTCGACGTCCCTGTCAAACACATCGACATGTGTCCAACTCTGATACCAACTTGTAATGTCCCAAAAATAACGAGTAAAATTTCATTTTTAATAAGCCAAAACCATTCATTTATTAACCCAAATGACAATCAGAGTAAAATCATAAACAATCAATACAGAATAAATCTTCAAGGGATGTAGTGCGATCAAGCCGGACTCTTCCTTTTTGAAACAAGAAGTACTTGAAAACATTTTAAACATAAATCGTAAGCACGAAGCTTAGTGAGTTCCCCAAAATACCACATACCATATATCATACATACATATCATACTAAATTATGTACGGGTCCATTTCACCTCTGAGTCCCTTCTGTCTCTCCGAGTCCTTTCTTACTCTCTAAGTTGCTTCCGACTTTCTGAGTCCCTTCCAACTTTTTCGGTATCTTTCAGCTGGTACGAGTCTATTTCACCCCCTTACAGATAAGCATACAGTCATACTAGCAAGAGTCACGAAGACACCAAACACATACACGCATATCAGTAAGTGTCACAAAGATCACTACTATCCTACAACATAATCCAGTGGGCCGACATTGGTGCCTTCGACCCACAAGTATAGTGAGGAGACTCACCTCAATCCGAAGATATCCAAATCACACTCACACTGCTGCTATAGGGCTCCTTACACTGAACATATCCAAAATCACCACCAATTAATAATTAGGGTAATAACCCATAATCAAAGGTCCAACCATAATCTATCATGCTAAGGGGTAAACGACTATTTTACACTTCGCTTACTTGACCCATCTAACCAAGGCCCAAACCCAAAAGGACCCAAGGCCCAAAAATGGCCCTCTGGTGAGTACGCCATGCGTACCACCCTATTACGCACCGCATACTCGACAATCACAAAAAAGGAAAAACGGGACCAAGAAGTCGTACGCGCTGCGTACTTTGATTTATGCAAGGCATAATCACAGGGACCTCAAAAACTCATTTTAAGCACTTAATCCGTTAAGATACAACGTCCAATACTCAGATCTAAGTCTTGGGAAGGTCATAACTGATAAAGTCGACAACTTTAAGCTTATGCATGGCTCAATGAAGCCCAAACCAAACCCTAGCTTCTTATTAGCACTTAATGCTCAAAGGCTAACCATCCAATAGTCAAATCAGGTTCCTAATAGCTCCATAATGGACAAAGTTTCCAACTTTATCCATTAGGATGGCCCAAACAACCAAGATCTAGTCTTAAATTTCGAAATACTAGGTTTATAATTCTTAAATTTCGAAAATTAAATAATTAATTTAAATTTAAAACAAACCAAATGACTTAATAATTATCTATTAATTAACATTTAATTAATTATATTAAATCAAATAAGGACTATCTAATTAAATTAATCAAATAATTTAATCCTAATCCTTACCCTCTAATTTTTGAAAAATTAGGGTATAGGATTTATCCAAAAAATTTCAATTATCCCTTTTAAACAATTAAAATAATAATTACAAAAAATTTAGGAAACCCAAACCAACTAATATCATTTTCAAAAATTTGCTTGGAGGAAGGCTAGGGTTTCAAAACCCTAGCCCTAATTTTGAAACTTAGGGGCAAGGTTAGGGTTTCAAAAACCTAAGCCTAATTTCGAAATATAAGCCTTTTAGGGCTTAATTTCCATAAACGATAATTTGATCAAATTCAACAATTATGGAAAATTCAATTGAAAAAAAAAATCAAACGCTCTGATACCACTGATGGGTTTTAGGCATTACAATACAAACTTAAAACTCTTAAGTGTGCATGCAACCTAAAACAAGATCTATGTTTTCTCTATTGAACCTATAACTATGAACATCAAAATAAGAACCCTAGAAACCCTAGGTAATTTCATAAATTACTAAAGAGAATGATTAGGGTTACATACCTTTTAGTTGTTATAGCAAACAACTAGAAATCCTCTTGTTGATCTTTTGGAAGCAAGCACCACAAGCACCGTGCCTCGAATGGTTCACACCCAACACAAGCAAGAAGGAGATTATGGAGAGAGGAGGAAGGAGAGAAAAATTTCGGCTATTCCTTTGAATGATAGAGTGGCCGAAAATACTAGGGGTAAGGCTCCTTATATAGTGCAACTTGGAAACAATAGATAAGCCCAAAACCAATATAATAATATTATTTTGAATTGGTAATTATCTAGCTTCCTAATTATCATCCAAGGACAATCTTAGAAACCCTAAAGGCCTCTAGAAACTGTTCACCCCATGTGTGGAAGGTTCTGGAGCTTTTCTCAACTATTGAACAATTGCACTTTAGTCCCTACACTTTTAATTAATTTCATTAATCCCAAAATTAATTCTAATTAAAATCTGATTAATTATTAATTAAATATTACTATTTCTAATTAATATATTATTCTCATAATATATTAATAAATTATTTATTACAATTTATTAATCAAATAATAAATCAACCTCTCTCTCTAAAAATCATCATGTCCAATTGCTAGGTTTGAGGGCAACCCAAAAGGACTGTGCTTATTAATTCAAGTTTATACCAATTATAGTTATGGATTTAGACACTTAATACAACAGTTTTTCCTTTTCTGTGATTGCCAAGTACGCGGTGCGTAATAGGGCGGTACGCATGGCGTACTCACCAGAGGGCCATTTTTGAGCGTTGGGTCCTTTTGGGTTTGGCCCGTGGTTAGATGGGTCAAGTAAGGGGAGGGTAAAATAGTCTTTTACCCCTTAATATGATATATTACGGTTGGACCTTTAATTATGTTTTATTACCCTAATTATTGATTAGGGGTGATTTTGGATATGTTCAGTGTGAGGATCCCTGTAGCAGCAGCGTGTGCGTGATTCAGATATCTTTGGATTTAGCTTAGTCTTCTCATTATACTTGTGGGTTTAAGGCACCAATGCTGCCCTAATGGATTATGCTGTAGGATAGTAGTGATCTTTGTGACACTTACTAATATGTCTATATGTGCTTGTTGTCTTCGTGACTCTTGCTAGTATGACTGTATACTTATCTGTAGGGGTGAAATAGACTTGTACCGGTTGAAAGATACCGAAGGAGTCGGAAGGGACTTAGAGAGTTGGAAGGGACTCAGGGAGTTGGAAGGGACTCAAAGAGTCGGAAGGGACTCAGGGGTGAGATAGAATCGTACATGCTTTAGTATGATATATATGTATGGTGTATGGTATGTGGTATTTTGGGGAACTCATTAAGTTTCGTGCTTACGGTTTACGTTTAAAATGTTTTCAGGTACTTCTGGTTTCAAAAGGAAGGGTCTGACTTGATCGCACTGCATCCCCTGGATATTTATTCTGCATTGATTGTTTATGATTTTACTCTATGATGTTTTGAGAATACTTTTACTCTGATTGTATTTTGGATTAATGAATGAATGGTTATGGGTTATTAAAAATGAAATTTTACTCAACATTTTTGGGACATTACACTCTCTTCTTCACAGATGTCCTCCTTAAATCATTTCTCTAATTCATCACCAAAATGGTCAATATATTTGTAAATTTGACCTCTGTTAGTGTTGTAGAGGTTCATTAGGGCCATAGTAGTACAAGTTCCTACATTCTTCTTCATGAACCTTCTCAGGAAAGTTACACAATCAGATAAA